AAAAAAAAATCTCATTAAAAAATAATTGTTTACAGTCTCACCTACGTTAGGGGTCTCCCAATTTTGTCAGCATATCTAGTCTCCTTGATTTGATCATGATTCTCCTATTTAACACACTCAATTGTCTAAAATTTCAATATGAATATCTAGTCGGACCATATAACTGTAGGCAAACAACAGACGGTCTTGATAGAATGGGATCTTGTTCCTCCGTACCATGTGAGCATCCACTTTAAAACGGCTTCACCCTGACAGCCCTCCAAATGTTTGTTATGTGACCATTAGGTCTTTAACATACATTTTGTGTTTTTCAACTCATAAATTTCATGTTATTACTATAATTAGTTTAAAATAAATATGACATTACTATGTTTTTGTGACTTAGGTGATTGTCTCTACTTTGTTACTTTATTCTTGTCAGTTTCATGCTAACATATATATGCAGGTGGAAAAAATTTTGCCTAAAACCAGACCCATGTGTGCTTTGGGCAAAATTTTTCTACCTTCATAAATCTAATTGGACCCTATTTATACCAACATGGCACTAAGAGGATAGGGTAACGTGGTAGAGATGGCAATGTGATTGGGATTTGCCTATATTAAGCTGCAACAATAACTAAAGTTTATAGTTAAGGTACAAAAATTGTATGTTGAGAAACTAATGATCTCAAAGACAAATAGTTGAAGAAGGACTTGCTAGGGGTGATGCCCCTTAAAACTTATCAGATGCCAATGAAGTTGCTTGGATTGTATTTAGGTCCACAAGTTTTCCCTTAATTCCTTGATGGAATGTTCCAACTTAAACAAGGTTTCAAACCTATTCTTAGGATGTTCCAAGGGAGTGAAGCCTAAAAATTAAGGTTTAGTGTGGGTGTGGTTGTGTAAGTTGGCGTGAGATCCCTTTCATTGAGTACTTGGCTTAGGTACATTATAATTAGAAGGCTATTTCCTACCATATTAAGGATGAATGGAGAATGTTTGATGGGGCCAATTGGTGGTGTTTGTGGACTTGGGGGCTAGTTCAAATATAGGGTCAAGATTGCTTCTGATTGGTGGCTATGCTGCGGTGGTGACAGCAGGGCAGACGATGGGAATGTTGTGATTTTGACATTATGCTTGTTTTGGTATGATTAGGCTGCTACGTTTTTAGTGGGGAATCTGATCAGTAGTGAAACAATGCGTGGTCTAACTTGTGTCGTCAATTGGGTGTGGGGCTGTTCTTGGTTTGGAGTGTTGGAGTATGTACATAGAGCGAATCAATAAATGCTCTAAAGAGAGAATTTGTGTATATTCGAAGAACGTGCTTAGGGGTAAATGGCAATTTTGATAGCCTTTATCATCATGTTTTCTACCATTGGTGAAGCACTATTGAAGTTCTTTTTAATATATAGAGCCAATGAATTAAGCGGGTTACTAGAAATCTCTCTTGCAAGTGAATTTAGAAATCTTGGATTTGGATGGCATGCGAATAGTTTTATTGTGTAACTTAAAATCAAAATGATTCGACTTGACTTCTTTCATAACAACTTAAATGATCCAAGTCAAAACTTATTACCATAACATTTTTTTAAGTCAAAATTTATGAACTTTCAAAAGTTTAAACTCAAATTATTAATAATGATTGATTTCTACATTTACATACTACTCATACAATTTTATCTGATTTGAGATTTGAGATGTCACAATAATAATAATATTGAAAATGAAATTTGATTAGTGTTGTAACTTGTACTATGGGAAATTGGAGTGAGGGAGCTCCATTTACGTGATTTTCATAGTGGCATAGTGCCATATCACTTATTTATAAACAGTCCGTGGTCAGAGCGTTACTAGGACAAGACATCAATAACATGATAAGACAGTGTTCTGGTTCAACTTCTTGTTAGAATGTGCTTGATCAGTTTTCTATTGTTCTTGGCTTGGAAGGTGACCAGAGGGAAATAAGTGTACTCGAGTGCATATCGATCTATGGCTATATGAAATCATATTGTGTGGAAACTTGGTTATGTGGAGGGCATATTGCTATTGAGGTACCTAGTTATATCTTTAATTTCAACCAATAGTCAATTTAGTCCTTATTCACTAGTTAGTTGACTTGTGTACTGCCATATAAAGTACTGAATTTGGTTAAAAACTATGGCATGAATGTTATCTCTTGTTTTGCAGTCGGCAGAAGACAAGGATGCCTTTAGTTGCAACTTGCGTGGAAAAGCTTAACTTGTTTGACAAGGACTAAAGTGGGACAAAGCATTAAACAATTCAAAGGCCTAGAATAGGGCTGCAATGAGTAAGTACTTATGAAACTTCTTAAAACAATCAAAATGATATATGGGTGAAATTGGTATGAAACAAATTGAAAGGAGCTTCTATATGAGCTATTGAGATTCTTAGTGCTTGTCCATGGTCATGGAGAGAGATTCTTTAGCTCAGGGAAGTTTTAGCTACTCATATTAGAATGGCAGTTGGTAATGGTCACCAAACATTTACTCATCTATCATTCATTCCATGATTAAGAAAGATTATACGACCAAATGGTTGGCATAAGCATCAATTTACGGGAAGTTTGGAATATTGTTGCTAGCTAGTATTGATAGGAAATTTTCCAATTTTGCAGACGAGTTAAGGAGGGTTCCATATCATAATGTTGTTGATGTGTCAGTTTAATATGGCCCATAGGTACAAAAAGCTTACTGTCGCAAAATGTTATTAGCTTTACCAATATTGGAAGAGTTTCAAGGTGCATCCCTTGGTATATAATTGATTGGAATGGCATTGGTAGTATCAATCCCAAGTACATTTTTATATTGTGGTTGGCTATGCTTTGTAGACTTAAATATATCTCGCGTGTTCTTGGTTAGAAGAGGGATGCAGATTGATGTTTTGTGCTCCTTCTATTTGTGGATCTTCGTCGCTCGTTTTGCCTATTCTTTTATCAGGGATGTATATATGGAGCTTGATATTGAGGGAAATTGGTATAAGTCTTAAAAAGAGTGAAGTAATTTTCTAGAAGATTCATTGTTTATGAATGGCTCTTCATCTTTCAAGAAGCTTATATACACATATTTAGAAATCAGGTACTTAAAGTCTTTGGTTCATGTATTCTCATTATTATGTTTTAGTTTAGTGTGATTCATATATATATATATATATAGGGGCATGAGTCTTTCTAGTGGAGTCCTATATATATACACCTATGTACTCTTTCATTTGCAGGCATCCAAGTAATACTTTTTGGAGTCGTACAAGTCTTGTTCTTCTCATCTATCTTTGATTTTCTGTTCATCACCAAGGTTGCTGATCTAGTGTGACTTGAGTTGCAATATGGTTTCTTACCCCATTGGAGACCCCTTTATTAAGATCGCCTCATTGGAGGGGGTCTCTTATAAGAGACTGACTCTGACTCTCCAATCTTTTTTTCATTTTTGTTTTTCATTTTCTAAAAATGGTGGTCCTCACCACATATTATTGTTATTATTCTTTTGACAAATAGTATGAATGTAATGGCATAGATTAAATATAATAATGAGTGTAATTTTTGAGAAAATTGTTATGAATCTCTTAAAATTGAAATAGAGAGTCTCTTATAAGTTAAATAAAATAATATTAGTGGTAATAAGATGCCATATACACTTATGAGTTAGACAAGTGAATGAGAGTGGGAAACTACTGCAAATGCAAGCAGCATCCTAACATTTCCATACACTTCCTTTGGCGTGAAAGGATCCTCGTGCTTTTGAGATAGTAAAGGCCTGTTGCAACAGTTGTAAATAATATCTACACTCAATTCGGTTTCGAGACTTAATTTGAAATAGAACCCTTGAGTTTGCTTAGATGTACCTGTAATTGCCATGTAGATGAATTTTGAGAGTTAATGCACTTGAAATTTTCTTAAAAATAAATTGTAAAAGTTCATATCTTTATGTATATATATATATTTAATATAAGGTACAAAGTATCCGATTGTGGGGTTCCTTGTTTCACATCAATTTTGAGTGTGTGAGTTTATTTGAATATATAAGATTTCGCTTAATTTTAAATTAATCGATTTTAGAGTTATGGTGTGTCTCATCTCTGTTCAAAAAACCTTGAACACTATTTTGGCAATTGGCCTGGGTGGACATGACTACCACCATGTTCTCGCCCTGGGCCCCGATTGTGGGGTTCCAATGATAGGAGTTTATTTTGTTTTGTGATGTGGTGGGTGAGGTTTAGCTATAACCTTGAATTTTGTTAGTGTGATTGTAAATTTTTATTTCAAACTTTTGAGGTTGGGGTCTTGGAGGAATCTTTGATCTCCTTGATTTTGGAAGGATGTCAAAGATGGCTCTTTAGTTTGTTTGCAAGAGAGGCTTAGGGAGCAATAACTTCAGGCTAAAGATTATTATTCGGCTACAAGCTGCTCTGGGGTCAGATGTGTAGTGGCAATGTAACAAACAATCAAGAGGCAATGAGATACCTAAATATTCACGTACATTTATTTAGTTATTCTTTTTTTTTTTACTTTGTTTTGTTTTTTGGATTATTTTATACTTTAAAAAACTTATTTATTGTAATATATGAAAATTACAAACTGTTAACTTTTGAGTGAGGTAAATTTGTATTATACTCCCTTTTTCTCTATAATTCAATACAAAGATGATCATTTTTCTTTAAAAAAAAAAAACTTGAAAAAAATGTACAATTAATTGGGATTCGGTTCATAATCTTGTTAATTAGTTTTACCAAAAAAAAAGTTATATCTCGACATAAACTTTTTAATTAATTGGGAATTACTGTTATAGGTGCTGTCTGAACTGGTTTCTATTTTGAAACTTATTTCATTTCTTTTTTCATAAAACAATTTCCATTCTTATTTCTCAAACAAATTTTCTTCTCATTTTTGTTGAACATACCTGTTTTTACATTTGCCAAACAAGCTCTAAAGTTTTCTTTTTGGGCCAACAAC